AGGCACCGAAAGTGAACCTATCAAAACATTAACCAATATGCTGTTACACAACTAGCGAAGAAGCTAAAATTTATCGTATTGCCGACAGCGTGACTCGCATGCGTGTCACAATTGCGCGTATTGGACTATTTCGGCTCGATTTATTTGCCATTTCCTGTTTGGCTCCAAAAATTACCCCGTCTGGAAAGTGGTGTTTTTACTACCGGTAACGGAATTAGGTGCTATAGAAGTAGGGTGGGCACGCTGCATTTTTTGAACAGAAATGTAAGTAAGTAGGACTGCTGCCGCTACTATATTGTCACAAGAATCTGGGAGTTCGTGAGCCAGGGCGAGTGTGGCCAATCTAGGGGGGGGGGGGTCAGGGCAGTCACTTTACATGCATGAAAAGTTGTGCGTGCCGAGCTTTGTATAGAGCCCGGAATTATTTAAGGGTAAAGTGATTCTGTAGAAAAATAATCAAAAGATCTCAATACACCCGCATTAACTAGCTATATTCAATGTATTAAACCTCTACTGCTGGTGTCGAGATTTTACGATGCAGTTCTTTTCGGTTTTGCAAGTTAGTGACGAAAGCAGTTTTGAAAACAGGATTCCGTGCTCCAACTCATTTAACCTGGTTCAGGGTGGTTTCGTACGCTGTGCCACCGCAAGAAATCTTATCGAAAGACTCAGTGACAGTATCCGTGGACGCTGTCGTCTATTTCCGAACGTCCGATCCTATCGCATCTGTTAACAATGTGGACGATGCTATTTATTCGACCAAACTCTTGGCGCAAACAACTCTCAGGAATGCTTTGGGTGAGTGCACGACTTGTGGACTATCGACAAAATGCGCCTGGTCTGTTTTGGACGTAAGTACTGCACAATGTTATTTAGGTATGAAAACATTGACTGAGATGTTGACTGAACGAGAGGCCATCGCACAACTTTGTGAAACGATTTTGGACGAAGGCACGGAACACTGGGGTGTGAAGGTTGGCGATTTTGCTTTATTGCCTTTCCTATAACCCTGTGGTCTTATGGACCTCCACATTCACTCTCGCTGGTTCAATGAGCGGGTTCTTTCATGTCTCGGATGTCAAGTCGGATTTTAGAAAAGTTAAAAGTAGTTGACAAAATTCCAAGCAGAGAACACATTTTAAAAATTCTTGGAACCCGCTGTTGTCATATATCCAGTGACTCCATCGAAACCGAAGGAAAGTTTTTTTTTGATTTTTGCCACTCTAATCGTTGGCCGACCTCAGCAATTCTTCCATAAAAGGTTGTGTTCTACTTTCTGGAGGTATGGAAGGTAGCGTATTAAGATGAGCTGTCAGTGTGTGTATCATTAGGAGAGGGAGTAGAATTTAGCTACTATGGAGACTTGTGAAAAGATATGTAAAGGCTTTTATGAATTTTTTCGAGAAAGATTTTATCAGATGATAAGAAGTTTAGTTTCCGGAAACTCTTAAGTTTTTCCTGCTTTTTTGCAGCTACTGCCTGCTCGTCGGATACGACACTATTGAGTGACCCTCATAGAATGATTGCTGCCTCCTCAGTTACTACCTGCTCGTTGGACACTTTTGGGGTGGCCAAAAAAAGAGGCACACCCCTCTACGCTCAAAAGAGCACTAATCACCCTATGCTAAACTGAAACCGTAAGCTACTGACTGGAGATTGAAGAGCGCATTCCAGCCTGTCAGCAAATTTCATGACAGCCTTCTACATCGAATAAATCCGAAAAATTTGTCACGTAAACATTGTGCGCGGGTCAAGCTCAACGTGATGCTCGACGGTTCGTGGACCATTACGACGTTATTTGAAAAGTTGGTTTGGAGGAGGTTTGCATACTCCGAACTAATTCCTCTAGGAAGTTATCCAGCAGTGAATCCATCCAAGAAATTATGTAAGAGCTCCAGACTAGAGCAGTTACGGAAGACCACTTCGAGCTCAAAGGCGATTGTAGATGACGTCATATTGTGAAGACGATGAGGGGAGTGAGCAGGGGCTTGCATCTGCGTATGTAAGGACACTTCAGTAATATTAACCCAAAAGACTTCCATGGATCACGGCAGGTTGTGCGAGTTAAAGGCACGCTCCGCGATAGGCGGGCTCGCCTGTTCCATCCAGGTGGTAGTAGGCAGGTGGACAAGTGTTGATGTCGGGCACCTTCTGCGGCTTGAAAGTACGCGAAAAAGGGGCAAGGAGCTCGTCCAACCCGCAACTCACACCTTCGTCCGCAAGCCCCACCCTCCGCTGACGGTTGCCACGTGGCGCTGCTTGAAAAGCGCGGGCGCATTTGTGGCAGTGGGCCCAGCGCGACCCAATGTAATTGGCAGTGGAGCAAGTAGAGTTAGGTTCGGGGAACTCGTCCAATTCGTCTTTTCTCTATTCCAAGGTGGAATGTGGCTGAAATAGGGGAGGTCTCTGTACGGGGCGTAATCGGTGGTTTCGTTTGCTTTCATTCTCTATTACAGACTACCTCCCACCTAAAACTTTATAACTGAACACTTTTCCACACCTATTTTATCCTGAATCTTGCCTTTAAAGCTTGCTGATATGAGTCATGACCAAAGTGTCTCTCTTTTTAGCCACCCCTATATACTTTCCCATAGGACAAGAAGGAGCATACAGAGACTAGGAGTGGGACCAGAAAGTGGAAGTGACGTGTGGGGCCTTAGCTAAAAGATCCGAATAGCCGAAGATTCTCGACACGTGGCTCACCATGGGCTTGCTAGCCACCATGCTTGCAGTCGGCAGCTTCTGATCTATTTGGTCCCTTTTGCTCTCTTGGGCGATATTTCCATTTTTTGTACTTGAAATTAAACTTTCTCTTGTGATGTGGTACGTCCTGATGCACTATACGTTGCAATTATCTCACAGCTACGTCAGTTAGGATGTACTAGGTGGCTGAAATGAAAGTGCTGTTGATGTTTTTGAGACTAGATTCGATCACATCTCAAGGGGCATCCATCAGGATGAGATGGAGTTTTACAGTAATTACTCCCCTGTTGGTTGCCTTGATGGCTCGCCCGACGCTTGGCTGGACACGTAAACGGCTGTGATGGGGCTCGTTTGTTTGTTTTTTATGTAGCTTGTTGGTGAAAGCTCCTACTTGGTCCTACTTGGTCGCTAAGTGTTGATGTCGCAGGGAGAGAATGAGGCTATTTTGAGTTTTAAGCGTGTTATTCTTGGGTAACAGCTGAACTACTCAGGAATCAAGTTCCACCTGGACGTCACTGTGTTCAATCTGCGGCACACTCATAAACTGCATGGCGTAAAACAGCACATGATTTCGCACATCGTACGTGGTTGTCAATGTCGTAGAAAATTAGAACAGGCTAGAGGGCGCTCGTCTCGAGGGAGCAGTTTCATCCCTCTACTCCGTGCAATAAGTTGACGAGATGGCAATACGTATTCATGAGATACGGCGTGCTCTTCTGGTTCTGCCTGATGATCATCGAAGATAATCCACGTCAGATGAGGCTCTACTTTTGTATGTGACCCAGTGGCTACACAAAGACTGAGGAAATAGCCCTTCTTGATCTACCCATTTCCCGAATGGCGCGTTTCGCTTTTGGTTTCGAAATTTCGCGGAATTGTTTAGGCTCATTTCTGCTATGCACCTGCCCGCTGGCCTGGTGTAAACAAATGAAGACTGCAAATTGAAATGGACCATTGTGTCAGAAAAACTTTGTTCACTCAAAACGAGGTAGTTATGTGGATCCAAGTATGAAAAACTAGAAAATCCTGAAAAGATATGATCGCAGACGTAACTGCATTGCTGAGTTGGAATGCATTTGCTTTCCAAGAAATAGGCTTCAGAATGATGATCCTCAGGGCGATGTTAGACTTTGGGAATCGAGCGATTCGCTGCCGTATGCGGTCGCGCTGCATACATCGCATGTGAGCTACTGGTTGCCGATGGATATTAGTCCCGAGACACGCATTTTTAGGCAGTTCAAGATGAATTATCATAGAGGCATTTAAAGGCACATTCCGCGATTGACCTAGTAACAATCGCTGCTGTTGGTAGGATAGATTTAGCCACAGAGAGTACATGTGCCACCCAGCTGCTCAAAAGTGCACGACCAGGGCACTAGGGTCTTATTAATTGCACTGCAAGGTACATCCATTTTGATCGCGATGCAACGGTATATGCGGCGCGGTGTCTGCGCCTTTTCGTCCGATATATTCCCTCGTCTATCCCTTCTCAGCACGTAGTGTCTCCATGTAATAGGACAGTTCTACTCCCAAAAATGTGGGCCTAATTTTCAGCGTTTCTTTGGTCTTTGGCATTTCATAATGGATTCTTAACGTCGTTTTTGCTTCAGATTTCGACCAAATCGGTCCCGACTGATGTTTGAGACATTCAGACTTTAGATTAACATGGTCGAACCTTGCTTTCTTTACATCAGTCAATAATTATAGGCCGAATGTGTCCTTTTTTCTTTACTATTATTATTATTAGAAGTGGGTCAGCAGTGAAAAATAACCTAATACAACTGCATAATTCTTGTCTGCATTCAGGTGGAGCGAGTGGAAGTAAAAGACATTAGGCTACCTCAACAGCTCACTCGCGCTATGGCTGCTGAAGCCGAAGCCGCTCGAGAAGCTCGGGCGAAAGTCGTGGCAGCAGAAGGAGAGCAGAAAGTGGGTCTTTTGAAGAAGTCATTCTATTCCTCATAATTTCATCAATGTTGTTCAATCTTTAAGGCCTCTCGTGCTTTGAAAGAAGCAGCGGATGTTATCCAAGCAAATCCGGTCGCCTTACAACTCCGGCATCTGCAAGCGCTCAACAGCATCGCGTATGAATATTTTATTTATCTGAAAACACATTCAGTGATTGGTTTCACCAGGAACAGTCCCTGTGCTCGTAAGGTGTAAAGCGGCGGGTCGTACCAATTTTGAAGGTCAAATTCTGTGGAAAGCACAGTTGACATGCAGCTCTTTCGAGGCATCAGCCACGTCCAGTGTTTTTAATGCGTTGGTGTCTGCGTCTCGTTCGTGCGCTATACTCCATCGTCTTGCCTCGGCACCCGACACCTCTAAGCGGTTTCGATTATAGTGTGGTAGTAAACCTAAGGAGTAGTAGAATGCGCCATTCATTTTAAATGCTCCTCACTTATTTATATCCTGTGAGATGTCAAAATTTTCACGTGATATTTTCAGAGCTGAACATAATTCAACAATCGTATTCCCGGTGCCGGTGGAAATGTTTGGTGCTTTCATGAAGAAGGACAACTAAACCGCTGTTTATTTGATTAGTTTTATGTCATTATGGAAATTTTCTACACCTTATCATTCTATGATCAATGCGCAATACATTGTCTTACACCTGATGCAAAGAAAGCGGTTGAATGATTTTGTGCAATGAACGTCTCTTGAGGTGTTCCACTTTCCTTTCCACTCACTATTCGTAGTGAATCGTTAACGTTGGTTTACTACTTTCTCATTGATCGATATTTTGTTTGTTTGTTGTCCACAGATTTCATTCTCATCTCAGAACCTTTTCCTAATGCTGTATTTGTGCCAATTCCCGTGATGACCGGCTATGACTTTTAACATATTGATACATATTGAATTCTAACAGTGCGCTGAATAGCCATACTAGCCAATTAACTTGTTGGCATCCATCGGTATATCAACAGAGTTTGTCATAATGAACGCCGTGGTATAAGTTGTACATTGAGAAATAATACATATTGATTACCTTATTAATTATGTAGAAAAGAAATAGTCTTGCAAGATGGTGCGATCCTCCTTCTAGTTTCCACCTTCTACCTAAAGGCATGGGGTGCGATGGTTTGGAGGCGGAGCCAACTGGGGGGTGCCTGTTGCGAGGGCACTGAATGCTGTGCCCGCACCGTGGTCCATTGTCCGCTTGGACAAATGGAACACGGGAAGATCCTACTTACTCATACTTGATTGCACATCTATGAAGATATGTTAATGAGCTACCAAAAATATATAAAAAGAGATTCTAAGACACTATAAGTGGAAGAAAGATAAGAGATTTCATTACACATAATCGATTCATTTGAAACTTCTTATAAGGAGGGGTGTAGCGTGGAGATACTCCTAAGGTGCTTTCAGATTTCGGCTGCAGTTTTCCAAGGAACTGGTTCTGGACTAGGGTATGGACATCCTTCCCTGGGCGCAATGGTGTAGGAGCCCAGGCTGGACGATCCCATATCATAAACTGCCTAGAATGTGAGCAGGATGTGCGAGATGTAGGGCATACACCGGACCTTGTCAAAGGTTCACTTAAGTTGAGTCGTTTACCTTTTATCTTATCCATAGGGTTTGATTCCAAAGGAGTGCACTAGTACCACGGATAAGATAGCAGGGAGTGCCTCCCCGGGCTGGAGTTTCATCCAATAGATGCTAGGTCTTTGGAAAAAAGAATTCCGTCCTAGGTTGCGTAGCGGTGCTGACATCTCTTCATATTTTCCGCCTCCAAACACAAGTATAATAATTAGCAGTTCTCCAAAGAAACCTAATAGGATTGTAAAAGCAGGAGTTACCAAGATTCTGACTGCACCGAACTTCATGTATCCGCCAATTTCTTATTGAGTTTTGTATGTTTGGAGTGTTTCTTCTTACACTTCTCCTTACCGCCGTTTCCACGCAACCCGGTGCACGCCCAAAAAAAATCGCGATATTAATGTTAAACTGGGAGCACCGCATCATCACAAATTTCTCATATCTCTATTTATAACTGTTACAAAGAAGGGGTCGTGTTGAGACCCTTTTAAGGTTGAGGCTTTCGTAATATTTTTGCAATCGTCGAAAAGCGACGACTGACCATGGTTTCAACTCCCTCCTGGAGCCTTTCCACCAGTAACATTAGCTCCGCCTTTCAGCCGTTGCAGTCACACCTTTCAGGTATTTTCAGTTAAACACAAACATCAAGCTCATCTTGCTTTCCTAAATCGATTATGTAACCGTTGCCTGTTCCCAATCCCATTTTTGAAAAACGCTACTTTCCCATATGGGCATTGCTCCCTCCATCTTGGACAGTTGCGGGACTTATTAAGGCAGCAATGACACTAATGTTCTACACCAAATCCACTAAGAAGGGATTGGATCCATGGAAGAAAAGGTAAAGAATGAAAGTTATCTTGTCTCCGCTCGTATTGCTACCAGGAGTTCAGCTAAATTAATTTTGGACCTGCCCTCTGAGGCTGCGTTCACGATGGCTGGAGGGTGGTGCGGTTCTGATGACGTCGCTGAACGTCATTGGTGGAAGAGCCATAAGATTACACCCTCAACGCACGAGGGGTCCACTTTCACTGTCGCTAGCGAAACTACACCGACCTACATTATTAGCGATCACCGCCTTCGAGGTTTAGACGTCACCGTGTAGGTACACCTCCAAAATAGAAACTAAGAAACTCGTTTCTGGCGAATACTGTCCAGTGCACGGGACACCACTCATTAGAGAGATTATGATAGTGTGTGTGTGTGCGAGCATAGAAGTATATGCACCAATGGAAGCAGTAGTCAGAGGCCTACGAAAGCAAGATGTGACCTTTTCGTGCCAAGGCGCTCTAGTTCAGCGCCCTGGGGCTGCCAGTCCTCCCTGGAGTCCGCGTCCCGTATGTGCTCTGCTCATCAGTGTGTTGTTACCACTGCTACCAGCATCATTGTTCTTACCATATGGATGCGGTATTCGACTTCGAGCGTGCATCCTGTAACTTCTACATGGAATGCGTCATCAATCAAAATAATCTCTGCTGAAATGATAGCGGCCATCGGTCTAACATGTGCAAACGACCTTTTAGTTGACTGCTAGCTCGTCCATTATCGGACCTCAACCGGCATATAAGGGCTTCTATTTTGCGAGTTTTAGACGGATTTCTTTCCTATTTTCGCAACTGGGGCATTATTTAGCATCCCCACTTCCACTATGAACCCAACCCTATCTTATCGTCGCTTTGAGGCCACTATTCCCTCGAATGTTGTGTGTATATTAGCAGTTGAACCCTTTGCGACGTAAAACAGAAGATGGTAGCAGAAATGGGAAGCTGAAATTGTAGAAAGGGACTGCCAAAACAACGCTTCAATTTGAGCGCCTTCTTACGGCAGGACTTCTCGGAAATTCATCAAGTGGACATCGGTTTCAGGCTGCAGTTCAAGCTAAAATGCTCGGTCGTCCACCATCGTAGGAAATGTTGTGGGCGCCTTCCCCAACTGGAATAGATGGCTCAAAAGCTGCCATGATTATGGCAACGGTATTCAAGATGACAGAATTAGTCTATTTCGCGACTGGGCAGCCAGAGCCCTGTCATTTTACTGCAACCACCGTCGCTGTTATTCGCAATGCAACTCCAGGTCCGAGCTGTGGAGTATCTGCGTTTCTGTCGCCGCAATGCTACGTCGTCCCGTTGTCCCTCCTCTGTGCGCAGTGCCTATTTCTTATAGCACTGCCCGTCTCGCGAAAAAAACCCAATTCCGGTATTGCTGAGAATGCATTTTTCTTTGTTAGCTTCGCACCTACGGTTCCATATTCGAGAGAAAGCGCTATATTCTTGGTCGTAGAATGTGCCTTCAAAGATGACCTAGGAGTAGCAATTTTGAGAGTGTCGAGACCTTAAGTTTTAGCTCATTTATAAGCTGTTCTCAGGAGCAAAAAGCGGTGCCCATTACACCAATTGTGTTGGGATAACGTGATCTGCAAGTCATATACACACAGGATGGCCCAGAAATCATGGTGATGAGAGCGTACCCCGTACAACTCAAAAATTAAACGGATAGTTCGAGTCTAGCTTTTGCGTATTCGTTTCTATTAATACGAACTTCATTCTTTATTCATTCCACTCGAAATTTATCTAGGTTGGATTGTTCACGCTTTCAGCTCTTCGTAAAGTAACGACTCGCTTGCTTCGTCAACGTGTCTGGTGGTGTGACGATGCAAAGGATGTTCAGGAAACCTGCAACAACCACCACTGCGAAGATTAATCATCTGGATGCTAGGATCCATTGGATTGGACCTGGGAGAGAAGCTTATTTTGTTAGCAAGAACGATATTGAGCAAGTTGGCGCTGAGCAGTGTTGAACACCACAACATTCAATCCGTCGTTCTCTCCCGTGTTACCAACCAGGTGAACTTCTTTGCAAGTAATTGTAAGCAACTATAACGTGGCCAAGGCACGTGAGCGTAGGAAAGCTCAGCTCTCCAATGGGGCGAGTAAAATGAAAAGGACGCAGGCGTTGTCTCAATTGACTTTTGCCAACCTTTTTCGCTGATGAGAAAGTAATCGCAGTCGAGTTATTTTTGAATAGATAGAGCGATCAAAAGTGCATTGAAGTCAAAGCTCAATATCTCAAACATCATTAAGTTTGATGAGAGTGAAGGTTTTTGTGGTGATCAAACTAAAAATCATATTACTTTTGATGTTTGTTTCACAAAGCATAAAATAGAGGAGAAAGGATTATCGTGAACTTTCCCCACCTCAAATAATTCTTTGAGGCAAGTGGAAGATAGCAAGCTCAGTGAACCTTTCTGTAGAACCGGCACACAAGGAAATTTTTACGAAGGTATTGCCAGCTGAACTGCCCAGAGATTGCTGCGTTTGGCAGTGGTCACTCAGAGTTCCCGGCTCAAATCTACTAGTTTGCGCTGTACGAATAGTGTGGAAGACGAGCACTTGATGCCGACATCATGGAGACGTTAGCGAAGTCGGGAAATCGCTTGGTAATGCTTGAAATGCACTCGGCAGTCTATCAACACACCGCGGTCAGCTCTCTCCCTAAAAGACTTCATTCCTTTCTCAAATCGGATAGCGGCTAGTCGGAAGGACCATGTGGTTTTTCGTTTGTTATCCTTCAGAGAACATGTTTTTGCTTTCCACTTGCCTGTTTCTAGTTGTAAAGATTTTCCATGACAGCTTCTTCGTGTTACCGTAATTTCACCCTGTATATCGGCCATTCCTATTATACACATATTGTACACAATCAATTTCTCAATTTTATCGTATACCAATTATATATACCCAATCAAAGTGACAATATTATACAGGACTTTGTGTATATGTATTATTTGATGATTGATATTAGCAACGGCATATCTATTAGAAATCAGGCCGTCAAATAGGCAAAGATGTAGGCAATTTGTACAACAAAAAGGCCATCCATTCAGAATATTCCTCCTGACATTCCAATGTAGTAGAACCAGTAGAAAATGTTGAAAGCTGTGAACAGCAGAGGGAACAGCTTCGCAGAAATCTGAATCTTATTGTAACATTATAAAGGATTTAAACCCTCATTGAGTTAAAGAATTTCGAGTTACCAGTTTGGTGCATAGTGCAAGGTGCACCACAAATATGGTAACAAGTTAGCATCGAAGTAACGATGGCACAGATACCGCAGCTCAAAATAATGCCCAGCGGAATGCTGTCTGTCGCTCTCTCATCTGCTGCTTTCTCACCTCATACTCTCCTCCACGATCTCAGTCCTCACAGCGTTAGCACAAAGCCGCATTGCGAAAGTGAGCAGTCCCTTGCGTTGAGCATTTTCGACAATTCTTTTCGTTTTTCTTCATTGCCGGTTATTACGCATCCATACTTCTATAATGGTGTGCAAGAACCACATCACTTTGATCCTGCAGTGCGCCTTCAAAGATACACCATGATTTCAGGTGAACAATTTCTTTGGTAGGTAAGAGATAGCTAGCATAACGTTGGCCGGGAATGCCGTTTTCCTAGTTTGCCGAATGTGCACCACAAAACGCTAACCAAGGAGGTGTTCTGGAAATGCCCAGCTTTCTAGAAACGGTTTTTCCATTAAATAGGGGTACGTGCATGGAGCAGAAAACTGGAGTTCATTTTTCCTGAGCGGCACTCTGAACACCAAAAAGGGAGCGAAGAAAAATTTCCTAACCCATTCGCGACAATGTCAGCCACCGGTGGCTGACTTTGCGCAATAGCCTCTGCCCGCGCTGGTCCGAACGGGCAGTGTTTGAAAATCCCGCGCGGTCGCGAGTGGGTTAAGTAACTACCGTCGTTACTGCTTTATTGCGATGTACATCGCTTACAGCGTTGGCTAGTGTCATATCAAGAGGTTCTCGCTAACCGTACATTGAAAATTACGCGAAGTTTGGACAGCATGGTGCGGTTGTTCGAGCCATGCGCTCAAGAAAAGCTATGCTTTCGTGTGCCTTCAAGGCGCATGTTCTTGTGCGGTGTTCTACTAGGATAATGGATGCCAGGGCTGAGATCATTTTGCATTTGTACGTGCATGGAACTGTGACCCTCTGAACACCGATAAAGGAGAGAATAAAAACTTCCTAAGGAGCTGCCGTTTTTAACTTTCTTCACCAGTTTTCTGGTCAAACTCTACGTATAAAGGTTCCGATAATAGACATCACATCTCTTATTCACGATGACGCCATTCGCGATTTTTGAAATGCCAACAACACAAAGTGCAAAGAAAACTGTAACCGCCATATTCGAATTACAGACCAGCTCATCACCCGTTTTTCGTATTCAGAGGGCCACTCAGGAAAAATGAACTGTAATACTGTGTTCCATGCACGTGCCGCTATACATGCAAAAAACCGCTTCAAGAAAGCTGAGCATTTCTTGAAAGACCCTCCTCGTAAGGCCATATCATGACCGCAAAATACAGCCGATGATCGTCGTGACCACAACCACTCTCGCTTTCGTTGCTCTCTAGGTTCGTGTTACTTTTCCCCAACGCCCCGAGTCCCTGATCTCCCTATTTGCCTCTTCAACTCCTCCTAGCCTACGGATTTTGTGATACCCTTATTTTCACTGTTTTCGACTGCTCTTTGTATTCCTCTGTATTCACTGTTGACCCACCTTGTATGTACCTTTAGTTTAATTTTCAAGAGTAGTTAACACATTTAGCTTGAATGTGCTTTTGACACATTATTATGACGCACCTTGTATAGAAGTGAATTCTGATTTACTAAGCTGCACTACTGTCATAATTGAAGGTAGCGATTTCTCTGACAATTTTGAGTCCCACAGACCTCAGTCAGTTTCCGCAGGAGTGTAAGATTACCGAACTCACTTCATCAATCCTCTCTCCATTCACGTACACAGGGTGCTCCACATGTACGTACATTCGCCGGCTTTTCTCGTCGGATCGCTTTCTTTGCGTGTTGCCGTTGCCTTCGGGTGCTACCAGTAATGGAACACCAGTAGCTAGTGGACTTCGATTGTCAACAACTGAAAGGTACAAAAGTGAAGCATTTACTGGCGACAAGAAAATTTGACAAACCTTCGGTGAAATGAGTTCGCTGTAGCCTTGAAAGCCATTGTTGTTCGGAATCACTTCGCATGACCGCATGCTCAATAGACCTGCTGTACCGCTTCCTTTTCGCATCCAGTTTGTCTGCGAAGCCAACAACGGCTAACTAAATTAAAAAAAAACAATCAGTAGGCGAGTAGATTTAGTAGACGAGACTTCTCACTGCTTTCTATTATAATTTTTTATGAAGGATGTGAAATTCGTTCTAGGACACAGAAAATACTTGAGCAGTACGGAAAGAATACCAGAAAACAAAGGAGAATATGTCAAAGGTAATGGCACAGTGAACTGTATTTATTGAATATGTATTTATCTATTGATCTGCAGACGTATGCCTGCGACTCTATTGTACATTTTCAACGAAATCGATCACGAAGGAAAAACTTGCGCCAAATATTGCTTTTTTTGAAGAGTGTACTAACAACTCAGATAAATATATTTGAATCATGTTATGTGCTCTGATTTGTTTTTCCGACTAATAACCGTTTCACATCTCTGATATACAGGGTGGCACAAAGTATGGTGCGGTATTTATTTGCATGTAAAAAATAAATAAGATGCAGTCCTTCACGAAATTTTGTCAAACGGGAATATCTAGATACACGAAGGTTTATTCAAGGTAATGCTCAAGATCTCTTTCACACCACGGATCTCTTTCACTGAGGATCCTCTCTAACTGAAAATCTCTAGCCGGTTAGTGACGAGGCTACCTGCCGTGACCCCATGTGGCGGGAAGGAAATTAATCGCAGACCAAAAGTCACCATGTAGTTGCCCTGAGAAGCGAGTCGATTCAAGGGATGGGCTCCCTGTTCCTGCAAAGCTGTGTTGATTCATACCAGCTGTCTTCACGCAGACGTACCCATGCATGCCTGTGTGTGGTGAGCTTGTGGGTGTGCGGTTGGTATCCTGCATGTCGGCACACTCAAAAGCTTGCATTCAAGTGACTGGAAAGTACATGGGAGACGATTCCGGACCGCTTCCAAAAACATAGCCCCTTGTTGCGCTCCAGGATAGCGTGGCTAATTACCTGGAGGTCTGTCCTATCCCACACGGCGGAGCCTGACAAGGTACTCGTGTGCCTCGAATATGCTAAAAACATGAATGGGCCTCATTCCCCTAAACCTGAGGGAACCCCATTACGGCAGCATTGGGTAGGATCGCTCGGGAGAGGCGCTAAAGAGCCCTGATAGGCTGCCTAAGCGAAGGAGAACTAAGATAGCGACCTATACTTCCACCGCCCGGACACTTACATCTGAAGCTCACGTCGAAGACCTGACGATGTAGCCCAGGAAGATCAAGTACGTCATCGGACCGATACAGACGAGAAGGCACTGCCCACTACACGCGGTTCGATACAGGAGAAGAGCTGTTCTTTGAGCATGCGACAGCAGAGGTGTTGGCGGTGTGGATGTCCTCGTCAACACGCACTTGGCCACAAACATCGATTCATACGAAAGCCTAACGAACCGAATCGGAGAAGATGTGGCTCAACTCCTGCTTTGCCAGGCTTCGTCGTCTACGTACCAACATCAAACTACGACGAGGAGAAACACGAAGCATTCCATATGGAATTGGAGAAGTTCTACAGGGAAAATCATACCTTGTTCAATGTCATCGTCGGCGACTTCAATGCTAAGATTGGCCTAAGAAGAACGGCTGAAGAATTTTACATCTGGTTCTTGTTCTCATTCTTGTTGCCTTGGATAAGACTTTCGAGCTTTGATCCACATCAGACCTTGTGCTGATTAAGCAACGCCTCACATCCTATCTCATCACACTGTGTTCTTTTTGAGCTTCGCCTCTTGCTCTGCATCCTCTCCGGTTCCAGATACATTTATATTTTTTTATACAGTACGACTACTTTGAAGTAGAGGGCACTACGCGGTACGGTCAACACTGTCAGGTTCACTAGTACATATTACTGAAAGAGGACTACATAGAACTCACTTCTGTATTAAATCGGTCCATCCGACTAACTAATGATAAATGAAACTCTCTACGCTGCTAACAAACGGACTGCACAAAAGCTATAGTCAAATAGGTCAAGATGCAAACTCAACAAATCGTCATTCTTATCATGTTCATAAGTACAATTTGAAAGAGCAAACAGAAAAATAAGGCTTGAAAATATGGAATAGTATATTTGGAGTAGTAGATAGTAAACACAACATACCTCAACAAGTGAAAGGAATATGAACCCTACGCAACCGAACATCCAAATGTCGAGAGCCTAAAACAGCGAGATTTATTAGAATCCCTTGTTTGCGATCTATTTCATATGAGTGGAAAAAATAAATCGCAGCGTTCAATATGATAGATGCGTTCGCAACTGATGTTCGATAAGCAGTGTCCTTTCGCCATTAAAGAGTATTACTGGATCTTTGGCATTGCAATGCGTGTACTATTTGAATATATTGCTTTATAACTTTCTGCCATCACGGGGAGTAGATCATGAAGTGTGATGACATTCCTCGAGAAACGGAACTTGATTCAGGACCCCATAAGCGTTTTCGTCTCCTTTTGTGCCTTATTGTGATGGATCTGATGGAATAACATGTCGCGAAGTGCTGCGTCGATGAGAAGTACAATAGTTATCATAATACAGGGAACACTCTCCTCGTTAGACATATTCGCATGTCCCAGAAATACCGAGAAAGGAATCCAGAAACTGAGCCGCGCAGCGTTGACGTCGCTCTTTCCCACTGTTATCTACATTTTGTTTCGGACACCTGTGAAGGCAGTAGGTGTAGGTTAGTTGGCACTAAAATGTCAAAGCTTCAAATTGCTCAAAGCTTTGGTTTGACACCCCGCTACCGCACCTCGATTCAGTCAAGAATGGTTGTTACAGATATGGAGACTAAATCGGCTACGCTCAATTTCTAAGCAAGTTGTAAACGTTCAGGGTTGTCAGGAAATACGGCATTAGCATACAAGGTAAGTTGACCATTCACTAGTCACGCATCGGTATTTTTAATTTTCCGTGATCCTTCGCCTATGAGGCTGAGTTTGTTTCCTGATTACTACTACAGTGCGTTTCAAAAGTATAAAGCCACCCTTGATTGCAGCTGTTCCGAATTAGAGTATAGGTTTTGTGGTTTAATACATACTTACTAATACACTGTTGGTTAATGGTGTGGTTTAATACACTGTTGAATTTGGCATGCTCTAAAACTATAGTCAACTTTGTTTTAAAAATTATTTTTAGCTATAAACGGTTTTATAAGAAAATTTGAAATCTCCACTATTTCAAAAGTATAAAGCCACCCCTGGCGAGTAGGCATCAAGGTAATACTTGCTCTTTCTGGTAATTCATTTGAAGATCTGTGGCCATAATTAGCACAAACACATTACGTTTTCAGTATGCCCCAACAATCTAAGCTTTGAAGAGCAAGTTCGTGTGAGGACGTTACATGAAGGTGGCCACTCAAATCGATCTATAGCTGCTCAAGGTGGACGTTCGCATAGGTGTATCGGCAAGTTCATGGAAAATATAGCTCCCTATGGAAAGAAGATGATCTCTGGAATGCCACGAGTACTGCGCAAACATGATATCCGCCATATTCAACGATCCCTTCAATTCTACGCCGACGACCAATCAGATCCAACGCGAGCTTTCTCTTTCTGCTTCGAAAAATACCATATGGAGGCTTACCAACCCTGCTCCAAATATTGTATGAGAATCGATGTCAAAGACACCACGTCTGGAAGAGCATCACAAAGCAGCTCGTCGGAGAAACATGCGAAAGAATTGGGATATGGTACGTGATTCTACAGGGTAGGAAGCACTTTCATCACGATTTGCTTAATGGTTTGATGTGTTCAGTTTATTTTCTCTGATGAGAAAAGTTCAATTTGGACGGGCTGCATGGTTATCACAGCGTGAAGAAAAGAAAGATCCGTTGGCGTTTAGCAGGAAAAACTTCGGCGGTGGCTAACAGATGGTCTGGGTTGAATTTCTACAGCGGTGGTGTGCTCCCTCTAGCTTTCGCGTCGTGTCGAGTAGACTCCAGTGAATATCAGAATATTCTTCCGGACCACTTATCCCGTTTCTAACTGGAGACGTCGGCAAAACTTTATCTTCATGCACCATCGATACGCCACCATCCATCGCAGCCGGTCCACTTAGCACTGGCAATAACATCAACCAAATCAATGTACTGGATTGGCCTGCCTGCAGCCGAGATTTAAATCCAGTAGAAAACGTCTGGGGGATTATCGTCAGACAGATTTACGCAGATGGAAAGAAGTACAGTATTGTGAAAACCTCAGAGATGCCATCTAGATGTACTGGCACCATTTGGATCTTGCTAAGCTTTGGAAGCTTACGGATAGTATGCCAAATTGCCTATTTGATCTCATTTCTAAACAAGGAGTCCACAGTAATTACTAATATATACGATGCTCACTGTTTTTTGAGGAAAATCGAGTTGTATTGCAAGTGGCTTTTCCCTTTTGAAACAGGGGATATTTGTAAATTTTCTTATATAAATGTATGTAAAGCATTTTGTTTACTGAAATAAGAGGGTAATGGTTTTCAAGCACGCTGAATTCAATAACGTGCCTGGGAAGCCATGCTATACTTACCTTGACCCGGAAAAATCGTTTTCATGGGTGGCTTTATACTTTTGAAACGTACTGTACCATTTTACATTCAATTTTGACACAGGAGCCATTAGTCCCTAGTTTGGCGCCTCAACTAACTTCTTCGCTCCATTTCTTGCAGAGTTTGACCGTTGACAACTTGCGTGGAAAGTTCACGTAACAGTTTTGTGTTCCATATTTGTGGCCGGCTTCATTGATCCTGTTGTTTACCTAGTTCTTTACCCAATGTTCCATGAGAGGTTGAAAGTCTTCCTTAGTAAGCTGCATACAACAGTGTGACCAGTGAGCATTTCATTCTCGGAACATTCCTAGCGACAAGATAGAGTATTATACAAAGTAAATTTTACTAACTTATTTCTTGAAGACATTGCTATTCCACCACCCCAGTAGTATACTCCAATTACACAATCAAATAGTTACCAGGAAAGGTCATTGAGCCAATCCGGCCAACGGAGTGAGGTGAACATTTGTGTACGCGCGCTTGAGCTTGAAAGTCTTCTTAGGCATATTCTCGAAGGAAGCAAAAGGTTAAGGCTTCTATGGAACTGGGCCACGACCTCACGCTTATGAGCCTAGACCAAGCCGCTACGCTTTTTGCTTCATACCTACACTGTTGCTTCATATAATCGAAAGAATAACCTTCACGTAGCTGACTCTTGGTAGATTCTTCACAATGTTACCAAACTGGAATGTCAGAGCCATTAAAGATGAGACACCTAGTGTTATTCTGGCAGGTAATGCCTGGAATCATTAGAATGAGTCTATTTTGCGTGTTCACATAGTGAAAATATCACCTTGGTGTCAATCCAAAACGCTATCCATGAAATGAAAACAGAGAGATAAGTCGGCATGTAGGCCTGGAAATTATTAGTTATACTGCTGCTTTCAGTAGAAGGCAGGCTCATCTTTTTCTTTTACAAATACTGTTATTTTATTTCGAATATGTTTTTGGCATTTATCCCGAGGAGGAAATACTGGCAGCGAGCTATAGCGCAGCAGAGATTGTAAGATTGGAATTCCTCGATGAAGCTCATATCAGAAGAGAGTCAACAGCCCGCCGTAACAAGTTTAACTAGAGGGTTTTGAAAGGGCATTGTATAAGTGTTGGTGAAGGTGACATGAGATCTTATTTGCGATTTGGGAGAGGTCGAGCGTTGTGGTGGAGTAAAAGGGAAAGGTAATTTGATGATTTGTGTCGACTTTGACAAAAACTTCAGCAAATAGGCTTGAAATTAATAAACAGTGTGCATTTGCCGTCCGTCTATACATATCCCCCTCTCTCGATAGGCGGCAGTTTATAGAAAAACATTGGGCAAAGTAAGGTGTAGACTAATTTCAGAATCGAGTGTTCAAATACTACAGAAACAGCCCTTGTGGTGGGACTGGGAGAGGGGGAGTCGTGCTGAGATCCCCTTCAAGAACAGGCGCTCCAGCAGTTTTTAAAATCCGCGAGCCATAAAAGGTTGACACCTTTTATGCCCGACTTTTATGGGCTTCTCAGTCCGAACAAGAAGGTGCCAGCAGTCTGCTTTGAGACTTTACGTCACAGTTTTCACAAAACTGAAGTAAAACTGTAGCAGAAGTTATCGCTCAATATTTCAAAATTCCACCGCGTCTCCTGCAGAATAACAGAGAAAACCAAGAAAGGGAATTAAAATCAAATAAAACTGTGAAAGACGAATTTTCAAGTTCAAGAAGACAAGTAAGAGAATGGAGAAGTGAAAAGCAAAGTATGAGATGTAAAATACAAAAAAAATGGATACCTGAAGAACATAATACCCATATAGTCTTCTAAATGTGAATTCCACTTCCAGTTGATCCCATAGTCCTGCTGTGTACACCAGAGTGGCATTACGATTCCTAAACTTCTATTAATTACAGAGAAGTTCCGTGTGAAACGGACATACACGGCGCTGTTCGCCCTGGCAGGGTCGACCCTATGTTGGCACAAGTACCAACGGAGGCGTCGTATTTGGGATCTGAATGTGGGGGGGGGGGAGATTGTACTCGCGGTGGTCGGCAGCAAAGTTCCTCACCCCGCATAGACCCAGCCTGCTCACGGTCAGCAAACGCGCTCCGTCGTCAGGACGCCAATGAGCGCGATTCAGCACATTCAGATCAATATCGTGTTGCGTTTCGATGATCAATTTCTTTGCCCGACCTCCCTTTCCGCAATTCAGAAGCGAGTAGGGTAGGGTGGAACACACGGCGGCGCCGGGAAGGGGACTTACTACTTTACTCTGAGGGAACTCTTCTGTTAGGTGACAATTATTTCTATAAGAATGCTCCGATTCTGAAGCAGTATTCTTTGACCTCATCAAAACAGAAGTGAATCACGATTTTACTATCGCACCTACCTGACCAAGTGAATCAACTTTTATAGGGTCTTGTGAGACCACTACTGTTTCTGACTGCAAAGTATTAGGTTGTCCTGAAAGTCTTTGCCAATTTGTCAATTTTTTTTCAAATCCACTTTTCTTCTTTAGCCAGCAATCTACAGTTATATGGCCCATCGTATCGCCAACATATTGCCTTTCAGCAGGTGGCTTGTAGATGCCGTTTGCCTAGAAGTCCTGAGCTTCCAAGGCAAAAAACTACTAGAGGAAGTCCGTTTTCGAGTAGTCCGGAACATAAAGCTCTCCCTTTTTTAGCTGAATCAGCAGCAATAGAAGCAGGCGCTATTCTGTTGGGGCCGGACCTGCTTAACACAAATGGTGCCATAACAACCCATGGGGGGCTTGGGGGCTTTTGTTGTACCTTCCTCGAATTTACATGACGATCGCTGCTCGGATGAGGTGATCTTTGTAATGTTTTCTACGCATAGTGCATGAGATCCCATCCGCTTGCCCACATTATCGAATTACAGTAGCAGTGAGGTTCGTTGGTAGGAGCCGTCGGTAAACGGATTGCTTGCAGCTTTACCAAGTCTGAAAGATGCCTCTCAAGTTGCAGTGCTGGAGTGGACGTCGGAATCTCTGGTTCTACGCGTCTGAGCCAGTGGCGCTCACGGGTGTGATTTACTTGAGGAACCCACCCCTTGCTACTACTAACAAAAAAATCGGGTCAAACAAGATACAGATGATAAATCAAAATGTTCACGCGAAATCTGAAGGCTTCTGATGGCGCTTCTCGCCCGGATCACAAAATCTCCTTTTTCCATGATTTCTTTTCTTTTTGAGGAGCTAGTGAGGAATGGCTATTGTGTTATGATAAGTGTAGTGAAGCTGCGTCAATTATTGTGCATTGCACCAGAAACTATTTCCAGACAACTCCAGAAGACACTCGGCACTCAGTCTAACAAGCCGACCAACTTTGGGCTTTTTTCTTGAGTTTCCGGACCTCGGCAACCAAATGTTTGCTATGTCGTGAAAGACACTCTGAAGCTCCATCGCAAGAAGTAATGCTCTTGCCGCATCGCTTCAAATGACCCGTTTTCTGGGTTCCAAAAAAAGAGAAGCCAAATATGTTTTCAGTCAAATTCGATTTTTTCAGGCATAATCACTGCGAAATACCACGGCAGAGACGCTCTGGAGAGATCATCGACTGGGGCCCACATACGTTTTACAATTGATGTTCAAAAATTATCCCTGGAGATTTCACAACATACACATGAAAATGGGCAAAGACTTTCAGGACAACCTAATAGTAAGTGGGTTAAGCGAATCAGAGGTTAACTCACATAAATTGAATAAGCTCGAAATCGGGTAGATTTTTCGAGTTTGGATCTGGAATCGAGACCGGCTCCCAATCCCTCCACACTATTCGAACTTCGGCAGTGTTGTATGAATAACTCTAAAGTGATAGTAATCGAACATGTTGTAAATTTGCTAACGCTCACTATTTTCGCAAACTGTACGACAGCGTTTTCATTTCAGCATTATTGAGAACTGCGCGCTGATCCAAAACATCAGCATTCTAATTCTCGGTGGTGAAATGACTGATGCCACTTTTCCGTAGAGTTTGCAGCAAAACCGAAACCTTGCCCGACATCCGACGTGAATGCTACTCCATCGCACTTCATTCTTTACCAGAGGAGTCGAGCGATGAAGTTTGAGTGGGGAGGGGGCGTGGGATGGGGAATGAGTGGTACTTTCTGGGAAACAAACGGAAAATTCCTAAATTTTCCATAAACTTCAAAGAATTTCCTGGAAATCTTTCAAATTCTTTTTTGACTGAATTTCTACCAAATCCTAGTCAAACCCTTCCGAAACCCTCTTGGGCCGTATAACTGCGAAATGAGCCATACGCTGTACGTGACGCGAACGCGCACACTAGCGAATTGCGTGTAATGAGAGCTCGACTGTAAAGTCTGGCATCGGCCTTGCGATTCCGCCCATTTAAACCCTTTGAGAAGCCTCATGGAAATCCGGGCAAGCCTCCACCACTCTACTGAGAATTGTTTATTCGTGCACGTGTGAGTAGGATCACCGCACAAGCGATCATGAAGCATTCATATTTACCTCGAAGACTAAGTTACAAGACTGCCGATCCATTGGAAAATATGTGAGGTCGAGTTTACAAGGTCCTATAAGTGAAACACGAAAGTTCAGCCATACGGTGCCGTTCGGGAATACCAACAGTAGTATATTCTGAGAAGGAGATGCGTGAATTTCCACCTGAAATATGGTGATTGAATTGATTGACGGCCAAGGAAACCATACCGCTGAAGAACACAATAAACTCACTTTTTTGCTGTTTACAAAGCAAACATTGGGAGACCACAGCTGTGGTAATTTATGAGCAGCTAACGAGATGTTCTTTATACAGTAATTGCGATCAGTAAAATCGAGCCGTGGATCTCGCCATATTTGAGAGAACCACACGTCGGCTTTGAAACTGCTCGAGAATTCACTGATTTCCGTAATTGACTGAACGGTGAGCTCCACAATTACCTGTAATGGTAACCTTATTAGGTCTGTAAGTACTACTTATGAAACAATATAGAGAAAGAAGTCTGGAAATGGCTTCCTTCATGTTTCCCCTAGCTCTACCCATATGTTCCTCTCGGGCTGTGAAGAAGACTGTCAGCTAAAAAAAGGAGTAGAAACCGTAGAAAAGTCCAAACACAGAGGCGAACTTCTTCTAGGTTGTGGAAAAGTCTAAACAAGGGACGGCGAGATAAGATATAGTGGGCGCCTAGGCGAAAAAGAATTTGAGACGAGAGAGCGTGGAGATCAGCGATGCGACGAAAGTGAGATACGAACACCGTGGGCTTACGTACCAGCGTTTGGAGTTTACTCCGAATCCATTTCTGGGATAAATTAAGCGTGAACGACGCTTCGTATCGCATCGAGTACGACCCCTGCTTCTTTTCAGCTTGTCCGCAGCGTTTCAGTGACCTAGTCGTGGAGTGTGCCTTTAAGATGTTTGTGACAAATGTGCGTTCTCGAGCTGTGCAAGCCTTATCCAGCTCCCCAGGTGTGCCGCCAGGTCCTTACGCGCGGAGCGCAATGAATTTTTTCCCGAAATCGGGACGACAATGTCTCGCGCATTTGCAGGTTAGGCAGCGTTTACATCTTTAACCCTTTGGCGACAATGGTACCTACCGGTTGGTGCCACCATGACCACCGCATGGGACAATGGCACCCAATGGTGGGTGCCACCTAAAATTTTCTTCTTTACGCATTTGAAATATTTTCAACATGCCACTAATTATAAGCAAGTCTCGATATGTCTATGCTTAGTATGTTTTACAGAAATGTTTGATACTAGCTGTTTTATATGAAATTTTAGAATGTGGCACTTCGCTCGCCGACATAATAACTAGCGTTATACATTATTGAGCTTAGGGTGAATTACTGGTCAAGACCTCTACGTCCTTTTATAGCCTTGAGACACAAGAAGGAGTTTGTACTATATCAAAAACTTTACTGCGGATATGAACTTTCAGAGTATTTATCACCATCCCCTTAAAATCCGAATTCACTTTCAAAACGTCCACTACTATTTCCACCAATGCATGATCATGAAGTTTAAGGCTGCAGTCAAATTTTTATATTGCCAAAGTTAAAGTTTTGGTAGAAAAACTGCTTTTAAGAATATATCTTGGGCCTATGCGAAGCATCATATACCATTTACAGATGTTGTGGGTAATTACCACCGCTCATGCTGAAACCCGTCCAAAACGAGCTACTTCTACCTCAACTATACCCCCCCTCCCTTCGGATTTCACCAATACATACTACCGTAGGGGAAGGGGTGGTGAAGAGATTAATTTAGGTAAATGGACTGTCTTAGCCGAGGAGGAAGTGTGGAATGATGAAATAAGGGAAGCAACCAGCATGTCCCCGAAGTCTTATGCAACAAGCCCCGAGAGTCGTCCGGGATATATCCGCTTCGGGCTTGTTGCATACGGTCGTCCAGGTACACCCACGAACACCTTAGGGACTTCTTTCATACGACCTTAGGGGATATATCCCCGGCCGGGAGTATGTCTTCGACGACTTTATGCAATGAGCCCCGAAGGTCGTCGGGGATATATTCCCGAAGACTTTCGGAGCTTCTTGCATACTGCCCCAGGATAAACAAGAAGACCGCGGTAGTGCGTAGAATAAGAGTTCCCTACTCGTATCCATCTCGCAGCTCAAGTCATATGACCTCCCCTTCAAACTTAGTTTTCTTTTATAAGCCCCAAACACGATTCGTAAAAACCCATATAAGACCGCAACCCCTCCCCCTCACTGAACTAGGACGGTTCACCTTTAGCCAGAATCCGAAGATTAGGATTGAAAGTGAATCCGCCTTCGTTACGCCTTTTTCCCTAAATCGTTGTAGTGATTGAACAAGCGCCACCGGTGTTCCCATTTGCCCCTGTTCGCAAGCAGATCAGTGAATTCTTTCCGCTGAGTGCCAAAAAAAACGGTTCACTCTCCTTAAGCCAGATTTTATGATGAACTGACCACAGCCCAGAGGTCTCCCTTTCAATTGACGTAGCGAAGATTCAATAGGGAACCGCACTGGCCCAACGATCACCACATAATCGCATGACGTGTCTGGCTCACCTGATTTTGGATTCCTTGGCAAATTCGACCGCATCCCGGTCTTTAATCTCTTACGGAGTTTGGAACTCTAGGTTCCTTTCTGAATTTGCATATGTCGGGAAGTTCCAAACACCATCCTCTCCGTAGCACGTTGGATAACACTGAGCACATGCTTATGTCGCGGCCGCAAAGCCCCTGCTTCTGTGGCGTTGTTTACAAGGTAACACTGCAAATCTGAAGCTGAAGCTCAGACGCTCTACCGCTGAAGAAGTTGTGCAGGAAACGTGATGTATTCCGCCCCGCATGAATGCGTATATGGGATCACTGCTTGCAGCGCACACAACTCCATGCATAAAACCAATTTCCGAAAAGGAGCAAACCTCCGGAAATCACAGTTTTCGAACAGTTTACAGACCCCGTGGGCGGAGCCAAGAGGGGGCATGGAACGAAATCTTGGTGTGAGCGGTCAAATTTTTGATACGTCGTGGGAAGCAAGCAATCAGTTTAAGTTCCTCGATAATATGGTGGGCAAAAGAAGCGCTCGAAGCAATATATTGAGGATGCACTAGAAGTTGAAATGTTTTCTAAGAGAATTGACGGCAGTTTTCTTAGTGAAGACAGCCCAGAAAAACATTAGGAAGCATCTCCGCTGCCGCATATGGCATTCGACGGCTCAATTTGAAAGAGAAATGGTGTTTGGAGTTTCAAATTTGTCGTGGCTATTTTTTTGAGATAACAACCGCAACTTTCTCGAATTTTCGTCCTGTCATGAGGGATGGGTTCAAGGCAACCCATTCATGATGGAAATAATATAGAAAAAAATTGTTGAATATTGCTATATGTTTTGTTTGCTCCTTCGTTTATGTCGACTACACGAGTTTTGGCTTGTTTGGGCGCACCAGAAGTGCAGTTTAAATAAAATAATGAATAAATAAATAAAAAATAAAAACATAGAAGCGTTTCACGTGCACGACTCTTTAGAAATTTTTTTATGTCGACGACAGTCACCTTCACAGAGGGGATGATTTGCAACAGAATAGACGAGTTAACAGATGCAGTCCACGCTTTTAAAAGTAGCTGAGTATCGTTTCCATTAAAACGTTCAATTACTTTTTGTACATTTATTGGATATTTTTTATACAATAGGTCGATTGAGAAACGGTATCAACAAGTGGTCCAAAGGCCTCATTTCTTGAAATACACTAGCCGTGAATCGGTGCGCCATCGGAAAGGTGTATCGTAAAGAAGCAAGAGTTGCAAAGAGGACTGTCAATGGGGAAAAAACGCAAAAGAATTCACTTAACATCGAAATTAAGGACCTTCTTTTCTTGAGAGGTCGACCGTGATGAGACGGAGAGACAATATATGAAAGAGCGTATCGTACGAGAGAGCGCAGACGCCGTGCATGTTGCGAGTAAGTAAAAATGGCAGCGGTCGCCGAGGTCAAAAAGGCCTTGTCCTGCACTTTGGAATGACGCTAGCTCCACGACTTCCATTTGGACGAAGCGTCAAGAATCAGTGTACGCACATCTTTGCTTCCGTGCCCTTACAGGAAGGAGCCTCCCAATATGTGTTTAGTGGAGACGCTAGCCAAATTCTGCTTGTCAGTCGTGAGAGACGTCACCAGTGGCTTTTCACCGGAGGCCACTCCGAATTCGAAAATGAGATCTTCTAATCTCCTGACTTGGAGATGTTTCAATTCTAGGATTCAGGGACCAAAAAGCAGCTGCATCGCCAGGTATATGATGTGGATCATTACGGTAGATATTACAGAAAGATCACATATCACAGAAACAGAAAGATTCTAACAGAATTGTGCGCAAACATTCAAATAGGGTTGCCAACATTTAATATGAATCGGTGTTTGTGGTCGAGTCCGTGTTGGCGAGAGCACCTACCCTCGCCTTCAGATGACCAGAAATTCTGCAATTGCAGAAATTGACGTGGCATTAACGGGGCATCAATTCAAGAACATCTTGTGCACACGTGATGTCACCTTTTCATCAAGAATTTAGCCACGTGTACAACGTGGGTTTCTGGCTGCATGAAACAGAGTGTACATAGCGAACGTTTTGCTGTGGTATTATTCGAGCAACGGTTTTTCTCAGTTTCCAAAAGGCGATGTAGCAGCGGTGCCTCGTCTCGGACACTATGATGGCACCGTGGGCAATTTTCCTTGATTGCTCCGCCACTTTTTCTATACGACCACCCTATGGAAGCGTCCGCGCAATAAATGCACGTCATCCTCCTCCGTCCTTGAGCCCCTTCTTCCCAGATTTATCCAGCTCTCCCGCTGCGCGGGAGAGCTGGATAAATCTGGGAAGAGGGCTTCCTCATTTTAAAGCCGATGTCGGACTTTGCGAATCGAGCGATTAGCTAGCGTCCATGGTCCCGTCGCGTACAGTGAATCAAGCCATTCTCGATGCTGCTATCGTGCTCGACGCGACCGCGTAGCCGGCGAATCGTTTGGTCCGCAAAGCAGGGTGAATATCGGTCGAGGATTCCTCAACGGCACGTCGAGGATTTTCGCCTCATCACTTACGTTCTCCTTGCCAAGACATTCACACTCGTAATGAGGGAGCCGTCTGTGCTCTCCGTGCGTACCTTCACTATCGACACTGCTCTCGCACAGTACAGAGCCATGGTCGAGGAATTCCTCCTCTGTTATTCACCCTGTCGCAAAGTCTGACATCGGCCTTACAGAAAGAGGCCTTTTGCGGAACATAATGTATCCACTAATTTGCCAGGCCCTATAGCTGGGGCTGGGCCAAATCCAGACCACTACTGGGCAGTGAAGACCTTGTGCCCCTCACACGATCAACCCTGACTTCACCACCTTGCTCTGCAGCCTTCCCCTAAAGATTTGAGAACAAAACTGCAAAGATAGACGTATGAGTCCCGATGGCCTGAAGCTCCACGGCCTCCTTGTAGTTGATGAAGGATATAAAAGATGGATCGCTCCAGCTTTAAAATAATAATAGAGGGAGAGAATATTCAGTCATTCTGTGCACGGCG